CAGGCTCTCTCCCACCTACATGCTAGGCAGACTCTCCAACACCTACATGCTAGGCAGGTTCTCCCCCATCTACATGCTAGGCAGGCTCTCCAACACCTACATGCTGGGCAGGTTCTCCCCCATCTACATGCTTGGCAGGCTCTCCCCCATCTACATGCTTGGCAGGCTCTCCACCACCGAACTACATATATTCTCAGTCTGGCTGCATTGCTCTTAATAACAAAAGAACAAAATCATTCCACATGTAAGTAAATAGATTGTGGTAAATATATACAATGGAAACCAGCCTTAAAAAATAAGTCTCAATACATGCTACAACATGGACGAGTCTCAAAAGCATATCAGATGAAGGCAGACCCCTATGGCCACATACTGTATGATTCCATTTACATGAAATATTAGAATCACTATCTGGATAAATCCATAAAGACTGGTGGGGAAGTGAAGAGAAACTGCTTAACAGATTTTATTTTAGAGGAACTGAAATCTTTTTTAATAGAGGCGGTGGCTGCACAACACTGTGAATGTACTAAATGCCAATAAGGTGTTCCTTTTAATGGTGCTACAGTTTGAATTACTAAAATTCAACTGCTGCTGTAATGTGGTATGAAGTGATGGGGACCTTTAAGAGGTGAATAGGCTATCATGGCTCCAGATTAACTGGAACTCTCTACTGCTGAACAGAGTTCAGACTTACTTAGGAAAAATGCTATTAGCTACTACAACTGAATAGTCACATATCCTAAGACATAGCAATTCCACTTCTAATTATTTACTCACCCCACTTAATACATATGCTCACCAAACATTGAAAAACCAGTATGGTGGTATTATTCCCATTATCCAAATATTAAAAGCAACCCAACAGTATGTTTTATGAACTGTAGTGTGTTTACATAACGGGATATTTTAAAACAAATGATGAAACTTACTACACACAACATGGATGTACCTCATAAAAGAACAGTGGACCAATGAAGCCACTATACAATGGATGCCATTGGCATGAAGCTCAAAACCAGGCAAAATTTATCTACAGCTGAATATCGGAATGATGGACATTGGAATTTAAAATTCTTTTAAATTATGAATGGAATCTGTAAAGGCTTCTGTGATGCTGGTAATATTTTCTTTCTTAATCTGGATGGCTCAAAAGTTCAAGTTGTCCAGGACTTCCTTTTTCATCCTTTGGGTTTTCTGGTGGTATAGTACTAGGAAGCAAACTCAGGACCTCTTGCATGCTAGGTAGGCATTCTAGCACTGTGCTCCATCCTCAGGCCCTTTGGGCTTTTTAAAAAAATGTATTTAGTACAGGATCTACTGGGTCTCACTACACAGATTGGACTTGGACTCATAGTGATCCTCCTGTTTTCAGCCCCCCAAGTGCTGGGATTACAGGCATGTGCCACCATGCCCATTTTCAGTGTGCCCCGGAGGGCAGGGCTGGCATGGCATGCTGGGGATCAAATCCTGGTCCCTGGGCCTGTCTAAGCAGGTGCTTTAGTCCAGTGAGCTATTTGGCCAGCCCCTTTCTTAATATATATTCTAATTTACTTATTTGCTTATTTATTTATTATCTGTATTTTAGGGAAGGATCTACAGGGTGTCTAGGGTCTCACTACTAGATCGGACTCCTAGTGATTCTGTTTCTAGCCTCCCAAATGCTGGGATTATAGGCACACACCACGACGCCCAGTCTCAATCACTGTCTCAGAGTGCCCCAGAGGCGGGGCCCAGCATGGAAGGCCCAGGGATTGGCCCCTGTGCCTGCTTGCAGGTGCTTTAATCCGCTGAGCTATTTGGCCAGCCCCATATATTTCAATTTAAAGTTTACTTGAAAAGATAAGAACAAAAAGCCAGACCCAGTAGCACATGCCTATACACCCAGCTACTTCGGAGGCTGAGGAAGCACAACAGAATTCCAAATTCAAGGCTAGCAAGAGCAAGTTAGTGAGAATCTACAGTGAGGCCTTGGGTTCAATTTTCAGGATCACAAACATAAAAAC